ATAAAGCAAATTTACGATTTTTTTTCATATCATTGTTGTTTCTTATAGCACAATTATCTAATTTTATGCATTTCCATTGAAGCTAACTTTATGGATCTGCATATAATGTTAGGGATGGTTCTTCAAAAATCTTCCCAAAAATTTCTACAAATTTCAAAATTAGTTCGAAATTTCTGCATATCTGAGGTAACTTCCAAGCTTCGATTTAGGTTTTATTCAGGTTCGGTTGGTCCAAACTTTGATTAATTTTTGGGATTTCATTTACAAATCGAGGCTGGAATCTTCATTTGGATCAATCGAAACTGAAACATCATCATTTTTGCCACTGCTTGTTGACGTAGACCACCTGTTTGACTGATTTTTTTAAATATTTTTTTCTCCAAGTAAGGTTCTCAAAAGTTTCTACAGATTTTGAAATTGGTTCANTCAAGCTCGTTCATCCTTTTTGCTACTGCTTGTTGTTATATTTTGTTTTTTTTTCCTCCAATTAGGGTTTTCAAAAGTAGCTACAGATTTTGAAATTGGTTCAGGATATACAAAGAAATCTCCATAAATCTTGATCCGAGGTAATTTTCAAGTTTTGATTTAGGGGTTTTTTATTTTATTTTCTCCAAACAATTAACTTTTCTTCGTTACTCCACGCAGCACGGAGATATTCAATTCATTTTTTCACCTTCCTTTCATTTTCACTTCGCGCTGCACGGTTTCACCTTCCTTTATGGATTGCCATTTTCTTCGTTACTCCACGCAGCACGGAGACATTCAATTCATTTTTTCACATTTCTTTCATTTTCAATCCACGCTGCACGGTTTCACCTTCCTTTCATTTTATTTGCCTCACCCGTAAAAGGAAGAAGCCCCTGATTCTTCTCATTGGTGCATAGGATTGTAAGGTAATTTGCTGTCAAACATGAAAAGAGCACGAATCAGCCATTGATTATAATTTTCAACAGTTAACCTGAATCTGATGGTGTATTGTGAAGCACGTTTATTCAATTAATTACTT